GCCCCGCCCGGCTGCCGCGGCTCCCGGAGCCGCTGGGCCCCGAGGAGAGCGCGGCCCCGGCCGGACAGGTGGGTGCGACCCAAAATGTGACAAAAACGGCCCAAAAACAGCCCAAAATGGGCCCCGGAATTGGCCAAAATTATCACAAAAAACAGCCCAAAATGGGCCCCGGAATCGGCCAAAATTATCACAAAAATCAGCCCAAAAACAGCCCAAAATGGGCCCCGGAATCGGCCAAAATTATCACAAAAAACAGCCCAAAATGGGCCCCGGAATCGGCCCAAATTAGCACAAAATTATCACAAAAATCAGCCCAAAAAACAGCCCAAAATGTGCCCCGAAATCGGCCCAAATTATCACAAAAAACAGCCCAAAATGTGCCCCCGAATTGGCCCAAAATGTGCCCCGAAATCAGCCCAAATTATCACAAAAATCAGCCCAAAATGGGCCCCGGAATTGGCCCAAATTAGCACAAAATTATCACAAAAATCAGCCCAAAATGTGCCCCCGAATCAGCCCAAAATGTGCCCCGAAATCGGCCAAAATTATCACAAAAATCAGCCCAAAATGTGCCCTGGAATCGGCCCAAAATGTGCCCCGAAATCAGCCCAAATTATCACAAAATTATCACAAAAATCAGCCCAAAAACAGCCCAAAATGGGCCCCAGAATCGGCCCAAATTATCACAAAAATGAGCCCAAAATCTGCCCCGGAATCGGCCCAAATTAGCACAAAATTATCACAAAAATCAGCCCAAAATCTGCCCCAAAATCGGCCCAAATTATCACAAAAATCAGCCCAAAAACAGCCCAAAATGGGCCCCGGAATCGGCCCAAATTATCACAAAAAACAGCCCAAAATGGGCCCCGGAATCGGCCCAAATTATCACAAAATTATCACAAAAATCAGCCCAAAATGTGCCCCGGAATCGGCCCAAATTAGCACAAAAAACAGCCCAAAATGGGCCCCGGAATCGGCCCAGATCGGCCAAAATTATCACAAAATTGTCACAAAAATCAGCCCAAAATCTGCCCCAAAATTGGCCCAAATGTGCCCCAAAATCTGCCCAAATTATCACAAAAATCAGCCCAAAATGTGCCCCGAAATCGGCCAAAATTATCACAAAATTATCACAAAAATCAGCCCAAAATCCGCCCAAAAATCAGCCCAAAATCTGCCCCCGAATCGGCCAAAATTATCACAAAATTGTCACAAAAATCAGCCCAAAATCTGCCCCAAATTTGGCCAAAATGTGCCCAAAATCAGCCCAAAATGTGCCCCAAAATTGGCCCAAAATGTGCCCCAAAATCAGCCCAAATCGGCCAAAATTATCACAAAATTATCACAAAAATCAGCCCAAAATCGGCCCAAAATGTGCCCCAAAATCTGCCCAAATTATCACAAAATTATCCCAAAATTATCCAAAAATTATCGTAAAAGTCAGCCCCAAATTCAGCCCCAAAATCTGCCAAAATCACCCCAAAATCTGCCCAAAAATCAGCCCAAAATCTGCTAAAATCTGTCAAAATTATCACCAAAATCAGCCCGAAAATCCGCCCCAAATTATCACAAAATTATCCCAAAATCAGCCCCAAAATCAGCCCAAAATTATCCCAAAATCAGCTCCAAAATCTGCCAAAATTATCCCAAAAGTCAGACCAAAATCTGCCAAAATTGCCCCCGAAAATCAGCCCAAAAATCGGACTAAAATCAGCCCAAAATTATCCCAAATCAGCCCCAAAATCTGCCCAAAATTATCCCAAAGTCAGCCAAAATTATCCCAATGTTATCCCAAAAATCAGCCCAAAATCAGCCAAAATTATCCCAAAATTATCCCAAATCAGCCCAAAATCCCTCCAA